ATGCCATCCCACCACTGGCAGGCCCTTCCTGTCTCAAGGAATTGCTATAGGGCCACTCTGCTCTGTGATGAGGGGCTGCTCTGTGATGAATCTGGCCATTGGACTGTGCTTTCCTGTAGCCCAGGGAAGCCCTACTGACTCTGGCCACTAGGACATAATTCCCTGATGCCTTATCAACTCCAGACTAGGGATGTTAAGGACTAGTTGACTATCTGATAAGCATTTGCTTATCGGATAGTCTGTTGACTAGTCAATTTATCCCCTTCCCCTTCCCCCCTGCTTCTATGAGAGATCCTGGGATCAGCTGTGCGGCACTGCCCCTTTAAAATGCTGAAGTGCCGTGGAGCTGGGGTCACGACAGGTTGAGAACTAAGACACAGAGGGAAAATGAAGTGCCCCACGTTATCCGGCAGGCCAAGACCACAGATTTGATCACTACATTGATTGTTTAAGGAAAAAATAGTGTGTGAAATCCTTTACAAACATCACATCTGCCATAATCTCTCCGCTGCCGAGGGAACAACTACACATTCCCTGAAATCCAGCCAATACTGAACAAACCGACAGACAAGGGCCACTGTAATAGTCCTCAAACATGATAACTTTGTCAAGGAGGGCAATCAACAGCGGTCCGATGCCACCTACACTGTATTATAAAGAACTCAAAGAAGACCCCCCACATCGCAGTTCACTCAAGAATAAAAGGCTATCAGTCTTTTCCCCAAACAACTCTAAGAGAAACTCTGCAACAGGGCTACTCAACTTTGGAAGCCCTGGGGGCCACAACGATACTCTCAGCACATGCCGAGGACCTCAACTTAAATGCAGTTGCATATACATGCAAATATGTATGCAAATACATGCAAATAGCTTCTTTCACACTACCAGGCATGAATACAAAGATTAAGCCATGGCACCAGAAGTGGCCAGTGAAAGCCAGTCAGCACCTCTCAAACTCTGCCCACAAGGCTAAGCAGCCACCACTTCCCACAATGCCTCGGTGCTCCCGGCACCTCTTCCTTAGGGGCTAGAAATGCCGACACCCTGTACCTGTCTGATCCAGCCAGCCCGTCCACTTGTGTCTTTCAGTGCTTACCCTCCTGGGAGACGCCTCACCATTGTGGAGTGTGTTCCCAGTGGAGGCCATGTTCAAAGGATCCTGCCCACAGGCCAAGTGTTGAGCCCTGTGTAAACCCAAACCACACTGCAGGCCGAAAACAAACGGTGTTAAGTAGCCCTGCTCTACAACCTCATCCCTTATAAAGACATCCCAGGGACTTTCTACAGGCTTCCGAAGATACACAAACAATGGAATCCAGGCAGGCCCATCAAGTCTGGCCATAGAACTCTTCATCAAGGGAATTGCAGAAACCATCTTTGAACTATTTGCCACAGGGATAGCTTCCTCTAGGACAGAGCTACTCAACTTTGGAAGTTCTGGGGGCCACAATGATACAGCACGTGCTGAGAGCTGCAACTTAAGTATGGTTGGATGCAAATATATGCGCAAATATATGCAAATAGCTTCTTTCACACTGATGGGCATGAATACAAAGATTGAGGCAAGACTACACAACATGCAGGCCCCATTTAAGTCAGTTCTCTTGATATTAATAAAATGCAATATTTACCCGATTTCTATCCATATGACAGCACTTTTAATGAGCAATGACAATCCAGGAATTGCTAAAACGCATATCAACAGAAGACCATTATATTGACTATTTTTTTGTTTTGGCTCCCACCCGCAGGCCACATGTTGAGCCCCAAGTAAACCCAAACCGCACCGCAGGCCGCAAACAAATGGGCCACAGGCTACATGTGAGTAGCCCTACTCTAGGACACTATCAGCTTCCTTCCAAGACTCCACAATATCGAGAATTTCTTGCCATCATGGATGTCACCTCCCTGTACCTCAACATTCCTCACCATGACAGCATCACTGCCTGCCTCAAATATTTATGAGACAGTGGACAACACTTAGATATATGACCCGAACACCAAATTCAACCATTTCAGCCTCACCCATAATGACTTTTACATTCAACAATCAGTCCTTTTCCTAAACCTTGGGAACAATCACCAATACTAGGATGGTTTCCCTATATGCCAATCTCTTCATGGTCCACCTGGAAGAAGAATTTCTAGGAAAATGAAACCAAAAATACACCGGCGATACAATGATATTTTTATCCGCTGGGCAGACAATCTAAACTCTGTCATTGACTTTCACCTCAACTTTAACAACCACTACCTATTAATCATATTTTCTCTAGAACATTCCCAGACTAGCATCAACTTCCTGGGCCTCATGATCAGCTTCAACAATGGAATATACAGAATAAACTAGAAAACCACAGATCACCACACTTACTGCCACAGATCTAACAACCACCCCAAACACACCATAATACCACAGAATATGCTCTTGAGTAGAAAGTCTAGGATACATACCTTAATACACTTAAAACTGCCTTCACCAAACAAGGATACTCCATCAGAAAAGTAAATAGCATCATGGAATGGGCCAGTCTAGTTCCTGAGAGAACCTGCTTCAATTGGGGGGGAGAGGACCACTAACAACACACCCCTAGTTGTCATCTACCATCCCACACTGGAACCTATATGGAGTATCATCAAATAGTTACAGCCTATACCTGATGGGAACCATATCCTGAAAGAAATCTTTCCTGAACCCTCCTTTTCTGCCCATCAGCCAACACCCTAACCTTGCTAAGCTTTGTCATCAGTAGCAAGCTCGCCACAGACCAGGACACAACAACTTGAAGAGACACCAGGCCCCTGCCATCACCACAGATGTAAAGCCTGAAATTATATCTCCACTGCTTCATGATCAGCCCCTTGTCCCCAGCTCTCCTTTTAAGATCCATAGTTGCCACGCATGCTTATCACAACATGTGCTGTGCCTCATCCACTGCATCAAATGCCTCAACAAAGATGTGGATAAAGCTAGACAATTACGGTGCTCTCAAATGAAGGCACACAGGAACATGTTAAAAGACAAAAACCACTATCCCACGGTGGTGAACACTTTTCACGAAAGAATCCCTCCACATCTGACCTCTCAGTCCTCATCCTCAAAGGAAACCTAACCTGCATAACGCTTTTGAAAGGCAAGCCTCAGAGCTTAAATTCCTAACTGTGTTAGACACCAAAAATCATAGACGCCAGTAAAAACATTAGTTTGATGTCTTACTACAACACACAGTAACCCACTCTTCCTTCTTTGTCTCGGGTTGGCGTGTTACGTACACACTTCATTGTGAATGACCTCTTGCAATGTGTTAGTTCCCATTAACAATCTGTTTCACCTTGTATTTAGCTGTGAAACACTGAGCACCGTTCCCCACATCTGAAGAAAAGCTCTGCATGATTCAAAAAGCTTGTCTCTCTGACCAACTGAAGTTAATCCAACAAAAGATATTACCTCACCCACCTTGTCTAGTAGGATTTCTTGAGAGAAATATTAGACACACTATCAAATGCTTTCTTAACATCCAAATGTATTACCTTCACAGTGTGCACTAATTTTGTAAATCTCTAAACGGTTGTGATTATTTATCATCTCTGGGGTAAATTTTGCCCCCACTGAAGTCAATACTGAAATGCCCAGGGACTTCAGTGAGGCCACAATTTTAACTGGGGTGTTGCTCATAATTCTGTCTCTTTGTAGAGAATGTGATGCATTCCGGGTCTGTATAATGTGACTTTAATTGAAATCACAGAGTCATTGATTTGTAGTGCCAGATCCATTGCTGGTGTATAACTCCAAACCTACTAATGCCAGTTTACATAAACTGCAGATCCAACCCATAGTGATTTTTAAAAGGAGTCCCGGTTCAAATTATTTTACTGATGTAGGAAGAAGTTAGACTTATGGGATGGTAATTGCCAGAGTCTCTCTCCTTGCCTTTATTAAAAACTGGTTCTACTGCACATTGGATTTTCTCTACTACTTCAGTACTGCAAGATATACCATTGAATATTATGGTTGGTAACTTCCTTAATTAATGTGTTTTCTAATTCCCCCTATGCCTCAGGACATCTGTTGTGACTTAATTATGTGTCCACTTCACCAAAATCTACTGGTCATATAAAAGTGGTGTAGGCAGATGTGCTTACAGGAATATGTGCTTACAGGATGTTAGTGGTGCTATAGCAGCCTTTCGAATGCTTATGAAATGTTTGGAGCGCTTCTGAATATGGACCAGAAGCATTTACAAACCTCTTAAATCCTAGAACTTGTGTATGGTAAATGCGAACATTTTCTAATATAGACCAACCTATAGCGAGACCTTATGGTGTCTTTTAATTACTGCCATTTTAGTGCATGGGGTTTGCAGTAAAAATATGCTGCAACGGTAACTGCATTTAGCAATCAAGACTGCTTTACCAGGATATTCTATAGGAAAATTCTGTATATATGCATCGATTTTGAAAGAGGAAAAGGTGGTGTTCTTTTGCTTTGTATGCCCATATTTAGCATCTATTGTTCTTCAGTAAGCAAACCTTTTGTATCCTAGCACAAGGGAAGGGTACTCATTTACAGATGGGCCTCAGCTGCAGACTCACCCATGAAAGTTAGAGATTGTTAGCATCTGGTGTTTTAATGCAACCAACTGCTGAACAAGAGAACAACCACTAAATTGAAATCCAGGATTGGGCTTAGATTCCAAATCTCTCTTAAATTTAGATATTATGTTTGGGCAGTCACTAATCTCATTTGAATCCAGAAGGTATTTGTACTATCTCCATAATTTATATGGAGTGGACAGTGGACAACAGTTATATTTTAATGATAAGTGGAATACAATTCCCCAATGAGTGATGTTAACTGTTTGCCCCTCCTGGCATATCAGCTAGTATAAAAACGATCAGTATCATCAGTATTTTAATCAGCTAGTATAAAAACGATCAGTATCTTCTACTACACATAGCTTTAAAATCTCCCTTATGTAATATTGTTGCTTCTATCTCAGGCAGGTAATGTGGTGACAGGAGAGATGGTGGAGGAACTTATTCTTTCTGGAGCAGATATTATTAAAGTGGGTATTGGACCTGGTAAGTGAAATCTGAATTGAAAGGTGAAGAAGTGGGTGGGGGGAGTTATTGCCTCAATGAACCCAATGGGCAAGGCTCGACAATTAATGTAATCTACTCTCCCGTGGTGAGTAGATTACAAGCCGGCACAGCTGGCACAGACGCACAGCAGTGTGTACAGTGTACAGCGCGAACCGCGCGGCTGGCGAGGGGGCTCGCCGTGACTTGGCGAGCCCTGCCAATGGGTATGCCACCGCCACTCACCTGTGCACAGGTTCACACTTTTTAAAGGTGCCAGGGCCCATGTTACTAGAGTCATAGAGCCCATTCCCAGAGACAATATGTGTGAGAGATAATGGACAGGATATAATCATGAAAGGGACATACAAATGATTTAAAAATTAGCAAACATTCCTTTGGGAATATTGTAGAAATTTAAGTAGAAATTTGAGGGGCTTCCCCTTCCTTTCCCTTTCTTTTTTTCTCTGTCTCGGAATAGGGTCTAGAATAAGACAGGGATGGCTACTGAGTCAGCACTAGCAGTGACACATGGAGGACAGTAGACAAAGATGTTCAGCTGCAGAAGCTGCAGGATGTATAACATCCTTGAGCAAGTATCTGATGGAAACCATTCATGCATGAAAGGTCACCTGAGAGTGATCATGGTAGAGAAGATCCCAGGATTAGATGGAGATGATGGAATTTAGATGGAGGTGTGAAGGTGTAATGCAAGATAGAAGGTGGCACAGACATGTCAAAATTTCCAGGCAGCTGCCAAATAAAAGGGCTTAAAAGGAGGGCTGTCAGAAAAGGAGGGTAATCCATGGAAGAAAAATGTGACCAGGAGGACAACACAGAGGAAAAGACTACTCAGAAGAATTGACACAGGTTTCATCAGACCAGATCGAGAAAACAGAGCGTTCATTTACGAGATATGAATGTGAAGATTAAAAGGATCTTGATGGGAGAGGGGAAACATCTGCTGATTCCATGTCAGGACTAATAACACTGCTAGATTCCTGTTGGAATGGATCAAGGGAGACTACATGCAGCTTGATAAGATGCGTAATGAAGTGGAAGCTCAGGTGATTTTCAGTGGAATGATTCCAGGCCCTCAAGAAGGAGGGCACAGGTGTCACAAGATAATGGAAATCAACAGATGGCTCAAGGACTATGAGGAGGATTTTGAGATGATCAAGCAGTGGGAGGCATTCACAGAAAGAAAACTCATCTCGACTGATGGACTCCGCTTGAGTACTTAGGGTATTAACCTAGTGGGATCAAGGCTGGTATGATTGATAAGATGAGCTATAAGCTAGGAGATGAGGGGAGAAAGTTCTGAGAAACTTGTGAAAACTCATGTCTGGTTCCAATATACAAAGACAAAGAAAATTAGCTAAATAAAGATATAGTAAGGGATAGTGGAACAGCCAAAGGTAAGACTGTGGACAGCAAGGAGGAAGAAAGTACAGATATTGATTGGAGTAGTAGCTGGGTAGCCAGAGGTGTGGATGTCACTTGGTTGGCTGCTGGGTCATCAGCAACCTCTGTCAGTCCTTATGGCAGCCCTTAGCTCAGGGCAGCACAGCCCAATGGCTAGAGTCTGTGAGGGTTTAGGGCAACAGCCTCTGTAGGAGGGCCCAGGCCCACCTTACTCCACCAGACCCCAACCCAGGGCCTTGTGAATGGCAGAGTTCTCCACCACTCGCTTAACAGGGAATCCAACTGCAACACACCAAGCTCACTCAGGTAGGAGATATCACTCCCACACCCTCCCTAGGTCACTTCCTACCTCAGGTGGCAAAGGGATATTCCACGTAGTCTCTGGGTTCTCTGGTTCCCCAGCCCTCTCCCTGGGACTCCTCCTGTGTTGGCGGCTTGGGGTGGTCTCCTGGGGCTCTGGAGCCTGTCATCTGGGTCCTTGGTTGGGACTTCTCCTAAGCTCCTGCTAGAGGTGGTCCTCCTCCTCCTGCATCCAACCCAGACTGAGCTGAGCTGTCCTTTCTTATACTGCTCCAGCATTTGGAGCATGCCCAGTCTGGGTGGAGGGGCGGAACTTCCTCTGCCCACAGGGTTTTAACCCTTCCTATTTCAGTGTGGGGTATGCATACCCCGTCACATATAGGTTATTAGGAGTAAACAGAGAGCATGTAGGAACGGAATATCATGCATGTATATCACAAAAAAAGCAACAGGTTAGAAAATGCAGGAGTGATGTAAAAGTAAAGCCAAGCTGAATTAACCGTTGCCAATGACATTTTTTAAAATGTATTATTTATCTAATTAAAAAGCAAATAAGGAAGGAGGAAGTTGGGGTGATAATTTGCGAGGAGTGGTGCCACATGGGCTGGAGCCATCTGGCCTGTACCTTCACCAATGCCAGTGAGTGAGTGAAGCAGGGAGGGGGAGACAGTGCAGAGAAGACTGAACTGCTGGGGCCGGATCTCCTGCTGTGGGGGGTGAATAGGGGCATCTGCATGCACCACTCCCCACACACATTGCCTGTGGTCTGTAGTTAGCTACCCGGGGAGCAAAAAGCAGACTGTGCAAGAACAAGACTCTGTGGTTAAATGCGGAAGATTGGATATTTTTTAAAGGATATATTCTGTCTCAGACAGAGTTAGTTTGAGTGAGTTCTATGGCCTTTGTTATACAGGAAGTGGGACCAGACGATCACAGTGGTCCCTTCTGGCTTTGGAATCTGCTTCAGTATGTTATTCTGAGCTAAAAATGCGTGGGTGAGATCAGACGCATGGTGATGTCGGCACAATCATTGGCAATGCTAAGATCAGGACTGCTGCTGAGACTTGCTGCATCCTGTTACAAAAAAGACAGGCTGAATCATCTCAGTTAATTCTCCTGAGGATACATTGTTCAGGGTAGGCGCTCTTATTTCATCGCTTGTCTAACAAACTTAGTGCAAATCACTAAATCATTTATAAAACTATATTAAGATCAGATTGCCGCCTTGCCCTCTTCTTCAAATAGCTTTGAGATCTGTAGACAAAAAAGCACTAAGTACAAAACATTAATATTTAGTAGTTTTAATGTGTAATGTTAATGGTTTCTTAGGTGCCCATCTCTGTAGCAATTTCCAGGGTAAATTAAATCCACGTGGGAGGATCCCACAGGACTTTATAGAGTCTTTCATTTTTCCTTGTTCTCTTCCTTGTTATTGCTATCCAGATATACAGCTAGAATTTCTTTCCTCTTCTTCTGTCTCCTACCCCGTGTTCCTGTGTCTTAGAGCAGTAGTTTTCAAACTCTGGGTTGCAGTTTGCAAGGGGAAGCCGCTAGCTTAGCCACAAGATGCAATATTTACCTGCGCCTCTGCAGATGCTGGCGCTTACAGCTCTCTTTGGCCGCAGATCGCCATTCCCTGCCAATGGGAGCTGCAGGAAGTGGTGTCTCAGGCCACACCGCTTTCTGTAGTTCCCATTGGCTGGGAACGGCCGGTCTGAAGCCAACAGGAGCTGCGATTGCCCATACCTGCAGAGGCACAGGTAAACAAAGTGTCTTACGGACAGCACTTAAAAGCTGCTACCCAGAGTTTGAAAACCCCTGTCTTAGGGGTTACGTTTACACTGCCAAGAAAAGATCTGTGGCCATGAGTCAAAACCTGGATCCGCTGACTAGGGGCTCCTGGAGGCTGATCTCTGAAACCCGGGGGCAGAGAGGGAAGGGTTTCCAAGCCTGGGCTCCAGATCAGGCCCAAATAGGTATATTATTCCTATTACCCCACAGACTGGTCTTTTGTTTTTGTAACTCACTGCTGCAAGTCTTGGCCTTTTTTTTCTCTTTGTTTAGAGTGCTGGCAAACCCTTAGTCACTGGGTGTTGACTATACAACAGGGGCATGCCTGGGTCCTTTTGTGTCTTCCCATTTCTCTTCGTCATCTCATAGAAACCTGCCTTGCTTTGTTAATAGCTGCAATTGCAGATCATTAGAAAACACTTAGACATAAATATTCCAGAGCCCTAAACAGAAAAACAGCAAATAGGTTCTAATAATACCTGTCTTTCATTCAGTGCTTGTCATTGGTAGTTCTCAGAGCATGTTACACAGTAGGTATCATTAGCCTCACTTTACAGATAGAGAAACTAAGGCACAGAAAGGCAAAGTTACTTGCCCAAGGTCACCAGCAGGTCAGCAGCAGAGCTGAGAACAGAATGCAGCTCTTCTTAAGCCTGATTCAGGGCTTTGCCACTGGACCATAGTGCAAAGCAGAGGGAAATGTAAAAACAGATGAGATTGGGTTTAATTTTGAAAATACCAAATGGATTGGCCAACGTAGCACTGACTAAAACACCTAGGGACAGGCCCATGAAGCCTTTTAATTTGTGTGATGAACTCTGTGAACAGATAATTTGAGAGCAGCAAGTGATGTAATAAGAGCTGGAATTGTGTACAGAAAAATAGGAAGTAGGAGGGCCATAAGATACTTTTCAGCAAACAGCAGAGATATTGAGGTGTAATGTCTACAATACAGGTGAATCATGACAGAACTATTTTAGTCTGTGACATCGGAATCTCCATCATTGGAGATATTTAAGAGCAGTTGTCATGGCTCTTTTCCCACTCTGGCACGATAAATGCAGAAATAGGGGCCAGCAAGTGTACCCCAAAACCTTATCTACCAGGCTTTGTTATAACACTTCCCCTCAGAATCTTAAAGCCCTAGATTTTGGGAATAAAACTTCCACTGCCACCATCCAAATTAATAAAGAAACCAGGGGATAGACCATTTGGGAAAATCTCACCCCTAAAGTAAAAAGCAGGACACCTCAATTTGCCAATACCAGGTTAATAAAAGGAAAAGAGAAAACTTTTATTATCACCACACTATTCCTGTTGCAAGCATAACAATTAGATGGAAAAGTAACAAAATATACTCATGAAGAACTCCATGGGCCTAGAACTTAATAACAAAGAAAAGCCAAAACATCTTTTAAAAAGTGCACAGACAGCAGATCCCATACCCAAACCATAAAACAATGAAACCTAACGGATTTATCTAAACTTTACCCTATTTAGAGAAAGTGAAGAAAGAGTCTTTTCTTGAAGGGAGACATAGTGTCTGTCCCCCCTCAATAGATGGAGAGAACTGCCCAGAGCAAAGGAGGGAAAAACCAAAAATTCCTTTGTCCCAGTTTGAAATTCCTACCTACATTCCTATTGGCCACTCCACCTGGCTAGGTAAGGGACTATATTATACAATGCAGTTTTCTTTTGTTCTCCTTATTTTTTAACATTGGTTCTTCATTTTTCTATGTTTTCAACTATTTTAAACAACCAGATGTTGCTGCTCTGGCTGCAAAAATGGAGGTTTTGTCCCTGTGGAAAATTTCAACAAAAATGAAAGAAAAATTGTCTAAATTATCTTCAGAAAATGTTTGAATTTTCAGCACAAATTGGCATATCAAAATATTTCTTCAAAGATCCAAAATATATCTGTTCAAAAATGTAGGTGTGCTGCCTCATGGGGATTGTAGTTCAACCAGGGAATCTACCCTACAGAGGAGAATGCTTGCATGAAGCACCAAAACTACATGTCCCATATGGCATGGTCTTCCTTCTTATAGATCATGGGAGATCCTGGCAATGGTGATGCATTATAGGAGAGGAAGTCCAACCTGGGAGCCTGGCCCATAAAAGAGAATGGGGATATGAGGCACCTGAACTAAAACTCCCATTAGCCACTCTGGCAAAATAAAAATATATCGCTTTTTAAACGTTCTGTTTTCTGATGAAAAATTCTAAATTTTCTATGGAAGGCAGACATTGCTTAAAGAAAATAATTCATTTAGGTTAAAACCCAGTTTTTTGTTGAGGAGACTAATGTCAAACAAAAAAATTTCTAACAGCTCTATTAGTGACATTTCTTTGATCTTATTTTCTTTTCCCGTAGGTTCTGTGTGCACTACCCGGATTAAGACAGGTGTGGGCTACCCTCAGCTGAGTGCTGTTATTGAGTGTGCAGACTCTGCCCATGGCCTGAAGGGGCATATTATTTCTGTGAGTATAGCCTACCAAACACCACTCACTGTG